GTGAAGTTCTCTAGGCAATGATCAATCGCGTTCGCGATAGCTGTGATGATGCTGTGTCAGTTTTGGCGGCCTCTTGGGCTGCCGTGATCTTCTCCGTAACCGCGCCCGTCACCAGTTGTCTCTTGTTAGCACTACCACCGAACGATATAGGTATAGGCGCTGCTTCGGCTTGCCTGTGTCTTTTTGTAGTGCGTAGGTTAGCTAGGCTAGGGGTATTTGGGTCCTCAGGGCGCGTGTGTGTCACTTCTGGAGGTCGAAGTGTCTGCCCTGGGGTACCTGGCACCGCCATCTCTCTGTCAGAGGGAGGGCTGGGCCCGATATGAGTTGTGAGTTGCCTTATTAGGCGCTTTAGGAGTGATTTCTAACAAAAATTTAATTGTTTTGAAGGGTACCATAAAATCACAAAGTTGGTGTTCGGTGGCCTTTCGCGCGGAGAAACTGCCGGATACACACTTCTCACCTTGAGTCAACCCTCTAAGTGTGCAGTCTTGATCTTTGCAATTCTGACTTCCTTTCTAGCCCACCGAGCTCTCCACAAACGTAGACTGTCACAAACGAGCAAGGGGTAATTGGAGAAGAGTTGATGGATGGCACTAACAGAACGAGCGACAGCATGGTCAGTAACGCGCTTTTTGGCGCTGGAGGCTGATGTATTGGGAAAATAAGAGCTGCAAAATGGATGTGCACTGCGCATGTCTATATACAAGCGCGTTAGGGACAATCCGAGCGGCCGAAAGAAAATGTGTCCCGTTACACCGGGCGTCCCGGTACGGTTGGATTGACATTAGTTAAGTAGACCCTCGGCCAGCTAGTGCTGCGAAAACGCTCCCATTTTCCACAATTATGTTTGGCAAAGGCGGAAGATCCCCCGGCGCCATCTTACTAGCGCGATGTACTAACAACCTCACTTGCCTTTCAAGTTCTCTAGTACCTGAAAGAAACCGCCAAACACAATGCAAACATGCGCTGCACACCATAGAAGCTATGATAGCAAGCAAGAGCGTGAAAATGAGGGTTTTTGGGCTAGCGAAAAATTCGGCGGAAGACAGCCAATGCTTGGTGATGACGGCTACGATGCTCATACCAACAAACAGCCATTGCAGCTGATCGTTACGATTGACCATGAATTGTAGCCCAGCCAGAAAACAGCAGTAGACTGGGAAGAGCCCCAGTGTAGTGTATCTTAGAACCAAGTCGATAATCCGTATGTCAGAGGAGTTCTGGAAGAACCAAAGAATGGCTTCAATGCCAAACCAGCAAGCAATTGTTCGGGGATGGGGACGGTCCGATATAAATATGTAGATGAAGAGGCCTATGGGAAATAGTGGTGACTGAGATGAGCTGATTGAATAGCCCGATGAAGGGTCACTGCATTGCAGTACAATGACGCCGACACATTGTAGAACTACTAGAGTAGCCGTTTCGAGGATACGTTGGTGGTAGGTATATTGAGAAGGGGGGAAGTGCAGTACGCCAATAGTTGAGCGTACGATTGAAGCGGAATGAACGCTGCTAACGTTTATTCCTTCGACGGGAGATTCAGGACTAACAGTAAAACTGGCAACCAGGATTCCTAAGGTAACCCAGCGCTCGCAGCGGTGAGTTGAGATGAAAATAATCTGACTCTCAGTTCTTCCCGAGGCCTCGCGCTCCGAGGACAAAGATTGGTAGAGGATAGCGGCTTCTTCAGCACCATACCGGCTTTCAGACCCTCGATCGTCACAGATAAAGGTCAGAATTCTTGCCGGTAACTTTGCAGCCTTCAATCGCTCACAGCAGTCTTTTTGCTGTTCTCGTTGTCCTGGAAATAAGGGTGAATAGCTGCAAATTACCACGATGTCGATTGTGCTGTGTGGGTGATCCTCAAAAACGCTGATGGGGGAAGACGATGCGCATTTGGTACCGCTCGATGCAGGGACACTAAATGCTGGTGTTGAGTCCATGTAGGGCGCTGATGGTGTTCAACAACAAAGCGGGATGTGAAATTGGCAGGCTGGAAGAGAGGCAAGTCGGAACTATAAGCGATGGCAATCTGCAGGGTCGAGGCACACCTCGCTTACCTTCTATTGATCGACGTATTAAAGCAAGGCTCGAAGCGCCCAAACTATTGAGCTGACTATCGCATGTCAGGATGCTAACCGTTTGCGCTCGACTACGTAGGGAAGGCCGCGGGCTGATACTCTTCCCGTCATATGCGCCGTAACCAACGTTATTGCCTGCAAAGGGTGAAGTCGCGTTCGCTAATATCACATAGAGTGTTCTACTATACAAATATAGACGTTGTAGGTTCTTATTCTTTAATCAGAAAAATATAAGTAGGTCTTTTGCTACTAGGGTTTTTTTATAGGTCGTATTAAGATGAAAAAACCCCCGTTATAACCCTTGTAAAGTATACTCTGATTTGCATTTTTATATTTGAGAGGCTCCATGATAGTCATTAAGATACAGGGAGATATCCTGAAGATCTAGAGCATATTTTAGATAGTAGGAGTAGTTGACCTATCTACGTTGGTATGTGAGGATCGTATCTGTATATATCAGCTTTAACGAGTTAATATAATCCAGTGCTAGAACGCGAGCTGAGATATTGTGAGCTATTCTGGTTCTGATATTGCACTAAATATAGTGCCTTTCTCGAATTATAGTTAGATAAAGAACTATTGTTGTCACTTAAGTGTTGAGAGTGCAATGCTGTCGGATGTCACTGGGGTTGTTTGATACTATCACGATCGTAAAGATAGATCCAGCCAGTAGAGCACTTGTAAAGACTCCTCCCAATGACATTATTACATGAGCTGCCTGAGCCGATTCCAGCGGTATCGCTCTCGTCACGCTATGCAATCGATACGAGGGGCGGCCCTCGAGGGAAGAGGTTCGCATCGTTGCCTCTAGGCTTGAATTACAGGGAGCCTAATACATCCGCGCCCCTAAGTAGGGACTTCTCTAGCTCTGGCGCTTCGCAAATGATACACATCTCGAAAGTAGCATCTTCCATACTATGGAAGCCAAATTCATAGAAATGGCTATAGATAACCATCAGCTTTTCGCACGGGTAAAGTGGACAGTCAGACCTTGCGGCTTGGTCAGTATTACGCAGCCAAGAAATGGTGTGTAATGAATCTACGTATGGACCACAAGACAGCGCGGCTGGGTATATGTGCCGCAAAACTCTTCATCCTGTCGCTCTGCACATAACCGATAGACAAGCTGACTCTATAACACCCTAAGAACGAAGAAGGAACTAGAGAATCCCTCGTATGTCAAACGCCTTTCCTCAGTCTGTATCCCTATGTAGCCTGCTACTCCTCTCAACGTCAGTCAGCCTGACCCGCACCCGGAAGCGTTGGTCGGCTGCCTGCTCAATGTATCCGCTTCGATGCGCAATGTACTAGAAACCGGAAAGGGAGATGAGCGCGCGATCGAGCGGGTACAAGCAGTGCTCCACGCAGCCCTCAGACTTGCCCGAACAGACCAGCTGCAGGACCATAATGCGTTGATGTTCATCAGCGCGTTCGGGTTACATAACGAACGTACCCCCGTGGTGGATTTATGCGGCCTTATCTATGCGCTTCTTGATGATACCAGTGGGCGTAAAAATCTCATCAGGCTGGTAAAAGAGAAGAATGTCCCCCACGTATCGAGATATATACGAACGGACATAACGGAGCACGAAGCCTGCGTGGTTTATTCATACTTGCAGCGGCATAAGGAAGAGATTCAAGAGTTTATAGATGCTATTCTATCTCAAGGAGGAACAGATAGAATAGAAAACGCCAAATCTATCGCAGCTGATGCAGGTGCTTATGCAGGGGAAGCTATCAGCAATCTCATCGGCTTCCTATATAGCAGCCCCTCTGGCGCCGCTTACGGCAGGTCTATTGGGGCAGAGGTTGGGGAGTTCTTTGAACACTGCGCGGTGGACAACTCAGAAGTGATGAAGCTCGTGCGCAGACCTTGCGACGAGTGGTTGTTGGATTTTGAAGATTTTGTCCCGAGGCAAGTTCCGAGTGTCGTCCATCTTTTAGAGCGACTCCTGAATCTCCCTTCTTTCGAAAGCGACAAAAGAGTAGGAGGGCACACTCTGCTCGATGATCTGCGTCCATATATGTTTGGTTGTACCCCAATGATGACTGCGATGGGTAGGGCGCTGTCAGTGTTTCGCGAGAAATCAGATATCGAGCAAAGTGCACTTGTAATAATATCTGATGGTAACTCGACCGGTGGTGATCCATTACAATCGGCAAATCAGTTGAAGCAGGAAAAGGTCACTATAGCGAATGTGGTCCTTACTGATGACAAAACAATCCCTCGTAGCCGGCTCTACGATCAAAAAACCGAAGGTAGATTTAATCAAGACCATCAGAATCTTTTTAACATGGCTTCTAAGATCGCCGTCACTAAGCATCCGGTACCAGTGCTAGCATCCATGGGTTGGAAAGTACCTTCCTCTGAGGAGTATGCACTGTATGCCGAATTCTGGAGCTCAGATACAATTGGAATGTTCAGTTCAGTACTGCTATCTGCGCGATTTGGTTCAGCGGATGCACTGCTAGACATCCTTGGCCGGGTGCGGTTAGACGCATATATCGATGATGCGCATATGCGAACTCGTAACAATCCCTCTGGACAAAAAGGTTCAGATTGTTGTGCCCACGCTATAGCGGCGGTGTATCACATGGCGCTGCTTCGTATAGTCAACCGCGAAGGGGGATGTCCGAGCATTGCAGAGATCCGGGAAAGGATTCTTCAGAAATTTCCTGCGGAACCAGAGGGAAGAAACATTGAAGAAGTCTTGAACAATACAATCGGCTGGTACCGGCCACTCCGTTTCACCTCCATGAAGGAGAACGGCGCCCGTCAGGCAGTATTACAACGCTGGCCGGTGACAATAACTTTCTGTCTATCGGATTCGGGCTGGAAAGAATTTGACAGGCACTTCAGCAAGGAAGCAGACACTCGCTGCTCGATTCTTATTGAAGCTGAGATGGCGACAAACACCTCACGGTCAGATGACATCGGACATGCAGTCGTCCTGGTCTGCTGCGGTCAGGGCTCCTTAACATTTCTCAATTCTTGGGGCTATGCGGAGGGCAATAACAGTAGCTTTAATGTCGAGAATCCCGCAGTACTTCAATTTGAAGGTGCATTGGAATGGGATAGCATGTGCTTCTACGACGTTTTCTGGTACGAAGAAGAGCTGACTCTTGAAGAAAAGCACGCATATGCCAGCAAACTGGATGGGGAAGTACATGCTTATACTACACAATAACCTAGCGTTCTCGAGCTAGAAATGCAGTGTCCTCTTTGGGGAGGCAATTCTTGTATCGGGGATTTTACGTGCAGCATGCGTTTAGCCGTGTGTCCCCACTGCCGGCGATCATTCAGACCAGAGCCTGGGCATCTCATGCAAGCACTATACGTGAGAGCTGGACTTGACATAATCTAATCAAGATTTATTTGGTTTCGAGCTTAAGCAGCGCAGTCGCGAAACGGCCCCCTCTGGCTAATTCGTGGTAGCCCCTGTTGCACTACGCTCGACACATCCGCCTCCAACTCCGTAAAGGACTAGTTCTCCCACTTAGCCTTGAGCTCTTTCTGAACCACAAGACATAGCTTGCGCAAAAAAAATCCTTGGTTACAAGTATCTCTACATGTTTCACAGTTCTCCCGCAATACAAGCATGTCATCAATAATTATACACTGAATCCACCTGACCATCCCCATCCCCAGCCATCCACTCTGCCACCCTCAGATACCCCCAAATCCCATGCCCATTTCCACCAAACTCATCGCCAAACTGCCTCACCATCGCATCAGGCAAAACATATCGATACCCCCTCCAAGACCGAAATGACCAATGATGGATATGTACCGTCCAATCGCGATGATTCATGAAATCCCACGCACGAATCTGATATTTGTGGTACAAGTCATTTAAAACGGTATAGTACCCTATATCCCCCGCAGCAACAGCCGCAAAAGTGATATGCTGAACCAGCTCCCTGAGCACTTCGTCGCGAGCCCACGATTGCGGTGAGCCAGACTGGTCACCCCAGGTATGCCGGATCCTCTCAAGGATATCCGTAAACGCCATTCTATTTTTCAAATCGTTAACAGCCACTCTTTTTTTCTTCTTCTCTTCTTCCGCAGACATGACAATGCTTACATGCTAATCCCGCCCCCCATCGAAAACCCCGTGACAATAATCTGCTTGGGCGTCGCACCGCGCGCAGCCATATCCTGGACTGCACTATCAAGCGCATCGAACGTCGCCTGTCGCATCGCATGCCACATGTCGCGAAAGAAGCTATGAATGCGATTCCCATTTTCGAACACGGGATACGGAATTCCCAACCATCCTGAGCCATCGGTCCACGTATTCATGTGGAGCTCGTTGGGGTCTGAGCCGAGAAATGCGATGGTGATTTTATCAGTGTTGTAGACTACGACGGCTCTGCGGCTAGCGTTGAAGCCGGTCCAGAGTTCTGAGACACTGAGGGTTGGGTTTTGGTAGTGGTCGCGCAATGCGGTGGTTATGTCGTTGATGTCTGGGCTGTGAGTTGAGCGCCATAGGATGTCGGCTGCGTCTTTGACATCGTTCCATTGAGATGGACCGCCTTGCAATCTGACTAGTTGCATTTTGATTGTTCTTGCTGTGGGATAGACGTGGATTGACTGAATTGTACTCCTTTGATGTGATTAAATGCTTCGGTGGTGAGGAGTCGAGTCTTCGAGATGCCAGTGAGTGAGGCTGAGGGCAAGTGAATGTGAGTGAAGGTATGGAATTGATACGTATAAGGAAAACTGAGAGTGACTGTCTGTAATAATATATGACGATTTATCTCTCTTCTATCAGGGTAAGCTACTACTGCTAGCCTTTAGCCTTGTCTGTTTCAGGAGCGTTCGCGGTGACGATACGACATAGCGGTGCGGGGTATACCACTGCATTTTGTTAGAGCAGAGCAGCTTCTACATGCATAGAAATGGACTTGCGTCAGCGCCTAGCTGGCTGTATCTATGGCTACTCATTGCAGTGATGCTAGAAAGGGTGGCGCGAACGGGCGCCTAATGCAACAATGGACGACGCGCGGCAAAAACAAAATAGGTCACCTGACTTCGTTGAAAATAGATGTAGCACAGCGTGTTTGCATTCCTTTTTAATACAACCTGATGTCATTCGACCGTCATATGTTACCTTCTCTACACCAAGCTATTTGGCAATCATCCTTCTGCACGAAGCCATTCTCGGATTCCTGGCTTCTAAGCGCGCGGTAATGCTAAAGTCTGAAACTGGCATTTTCATTTTGCATTTTGGAACTATAGAACGAATATTCAGATAGAAAAATCCATAATGGGGAGGCTGACGTTCCGCCCCGGCGGTTTTCTCGTTACAGGTTGATAAATGTCGCAGCAGAGGATAATATATCTATATTAATATTGCGTTCGTTGGTTACACAGCGTTGGTCGATCACTGTTTTGTGACTGTCTTAAGTGTTGCACCAACCCTTGTGCTACATCGGCTTGTCATAGTGTTGTGAGCTGCTTCTGAATGTGATAGCACGATCAAGTAGGTGGCATAGTATCACAAAGGTACACGATAGTCAACTGCTCAGACGAGTCATGGGCATAGTAGTTACTTGCGCATTTTCACTCTTGTCTTGTTTTTGTGGATATAGAGTGATTCAGATTGAGCAATATATTTCCCACTCCAACTCTCGTAATGTGGCAAACTACCTTGTATTTTCTTCTCTTCCCGTAGGGCAACTTCAAATTGCTTTAGTTACAAACTATTCAGCTTTTGAGGAGGCCTCGGAGTAGCGTTGTAGGGAGTGCTCGCTCTCAGGCGCAAACTTCTGGTATTTGAGCTCATTTGGCACGTCTGGTTTTTTTGGTTGACCTTGGCCCACCCATAAGCATAGATAGCTGCCCAAATCCGGAGTGTCGCATAACAGCTGACGAAACAGGCTAGACTTCTGGAGCTTGCTGATTTGGGCCCCTGCATACCAGAAGATGTGAGCCCTCATAGGATCCTCTCTAACTCTTTCCGCAATTTCCTCACACGCAACCCGGAGCAGTTCACAAACGCTCTCTTCTGAGATATGTGTGTTGGTCCCTAGTGTCTGGACGAACCTCCACAAAGTGTAGGCCTGAAATCTTGGTGCCATAAGGCGTTCTCCCATGACATAGAGGCGCGCCAGGGTCACATATTCGGAGTAATGCGCGACATCGCGGGAAAGAATTGATTGATTGCGGTAAAGGTATTCGACAAAGAATCCAAAAGTCTCGGGATCTTCATCCTCCAATTCAATGGCTTTCTCCTCTGCTTCCTTGAACCTGCCAGTCAGGCTGTTGGAAAACATATCTGATTCGGCAACAAGAAGGTCGAAATGGAGGTAGAATGTTCTCGACTTGGCAATAGTGACAGTTACGAGGGGAGAGGTGAGGAAACTGTGTAAGATGAGCATATGAGCGATGCGATAGGCAGATAGGAAAGGTATACTGTGAGAACTTGGGCTTTTCAGCCTTGCCTAATGGACCTTTAGGCTCCAGTTTTGCCATGACGTATGTTGTATCTACGTAGCGACAGCAGGGAAGGGATCAGAGAACTTTTCGACGTTCGGCTTTCAGGACTTGAGATGTAAATCAAAACGATACTGATCATGTTAGTTCCAATGACGGTGGTTGTGTTTATGTATTCTCGCAAGGCTGGTCGCAAGCGCTCACAATCCTGCAGAGGGGGTTATGCAACGGCGCTAAGTAATTGGATAATGGTGTCCCAGGCCAAACTGTGCCACGTCGACATCTGTGTAACACAATAATAAGATGCCTGTCATCTTCCACTTTAGTAAAAATCCTTTGCTACCACGCCACACACATACATACATATCCTACTCAGCCTTGCTTCCCACCCCCTTACCCCCCAAAACCCCCTCCAAAACCCTCACAAACTCCTCCGCCATCTTCCTCCCCCCCTCCCCACTCGGCTCAACCCTCTCCACATAATCCCTAGCTTCCTTCCCGTCCAACACCTCAAACAGCTTACACGGCAGCACCTCCACCCCCTCCACGCTAATCTCCTCCGTCGCACTCTTGTACAACTCCCTAATCGCCGCCTGCAACTGCCCCGGATTCCTCTCATACCCCAGCACACGTAACTTTCCATCCGCCCACCCACTCTGCCCCTTGCCACTCTCCAACGGAAAATAAATCATGCAAACGACGACAGCACGGGGTTTCGTCACGGCGGTGAGGCGAGAGATGTAGTCTTGAATTTTGGATCCGAAGAGATGTCGGAAATAGGGCAGGCCCCATGCGGAGCCGTCTTCGATGGATTTGCGGGGGGTGAGCCATGCGAGTTGGAACATGTGTGCGCTGGTTTCGACAGTGGGGTTCAAGGCGATGTCGTTGGAGCCGACGCTTACGACGAGGATGTCGTTGGAGCGGATGTTGGAGCGGATGAAGGCATCGTGGGGGAGGTCGGTGTCGCGTTCTCGAAGAAGGGATTCTTCGACTGCAGTGTTGATGCATGTTGCGCGGGCGGAGAGGAGGTGGTTGAGCCAGTATGCTACGTCTGGGATGAGGGTGATGGGGTCCGCGAGGGTTTTGTGGTAGATGGCGGGAATTTGAGAGGGGTCGGCGTTGGAGATGGGCTCTTTGATCCAGAATTTGTTGTCAAGGGAGGAGTCGCCGGCGAGGTAGATGATGGGTTTGTCAGGGCGCTCGGTGAGCGTGATGGCGCGGAACTTGGTCAAGTCACTGATGGAGTGGCCTTTGTATTCGTTGTAGAACTTCCCAGAGTCGATTTTGGAGGTTTCCCCGGTTTCTGAAGCCATGTTTGGGATAATGTTAGTTGTAGTCGTTGTGAAGTATGGAAAACAAGTTATGGAACACGTAGTGTGAATGGTCACACATGTTTTATTATCACTTCTACGTAAAGCGATGAATACGACTAGTGTGGCTGAAATCAGCCACACGCATTCATTAGCGTACAACATTAAACCTAGAACCTATTGATTCTCCAGGTAAAAATACCTCACATAGCCTTGCCCGCAACCACAACCGGAGATGTACGGCTGTGCACGGGCCTCGCTCTAACAATGACATACGTAACCTCGACTAGTAGCAGAGGCATCGTATAAGGCAACGTAATCATGAACGCAGGTACTTAAACCCAAAAAAGACACTACCACCCATCTCGAATCGTTGCGAAACTTTTGAAAAAAAAGGCTAGACCGATCCAAGTCCTTCTGGCATCACGTGTGCATCACTTTCACCATGTGTAAGAACCATCAAGACAGCTGCGCTAACAGATACATTTATATGAAATCTATTTCCAGCCCTAGTCTAATAACTCCACCTATGGAAACAGAATAGCGCAAAAGAAATCATCTAATCACATGAATCCAACTCTACCATTTCCAGAAACCCCCATCAAGAGCCCTACCTACCCTCTTCAACTTCTCCATCTCCTGCACACCCATCTCAAACGCCCGCTCCAACTTCTCCACCCGCTCCTTCGTCTCCTGAAACTCTGCATCTGCATCTTGCATCGTGGCCACGAACTCGCGCACAAGATGCGAAGGGCCGTCGACTTGCAAGGGAGAAGTACGGAAGAGGGTGCGTTGGACGTGGTAAAGGAGGGGCCAGTCACGTTTTTCATATACGCGAATAGTGACGGGGATGGAGGAGTTGGAATTCGGGGTAGGGAGGTCATCGATAAAGTCTGAGTCTGAGAAGGTAGTGTAAGTGCGGTGGTGGGCCGGACGGTCCTCCTCGGTCTCTTCGATTTTGGTGCGGAGAAGCTGGACAGCGGTTTGGAGGTGGGATTCTAGAACGTCATTTCGAGCGTCGAGGTCGAGGTTTGCATGGTGCAGCGAGAGTATCTGTTCTGAAAGCTTGTCTAGTTCGGCCATTGTGTTGCAGTGCTCGTGGGAGAGCTTGGCGAATGCGCGGATGAGGTTTTCGTTTTCAGTTTCTACGTCGTGGAGAGACTGCCTAAGGTAATCAGTTTCAGAGGTTTCATCCAAGGGTTCGATGGACGTGGGGGACGCACCGAGTGTGATATCGGAGATATCAGAATCGGAAGATGTTGGTGATTCCAAGCTCCGCTGCTCATCGGCAGTAGCAATCTCGTTTTCGAGTTTCTCGATCGTAGCTTTGCAATGCTCTACCTCACAGATTAGGTCCTCAATCTGTTCTGAATCAGCGTCGTGCGTCTCCATGAGCCCCTCGTTGGCACGCTCGAGATAGCGCAGCTCCTCGACCTCAGCTTCTGCAACTTGCAGGAGGGTCATAGCATCATCGATTTGTTGTTGGGCCTCCTCGTAAATCTTCTCGCAATCGTGGTGCTTGGTTAGCGATTCTAGTCGAGCATTTTCCTTCTCCAGATACTTGATGCGACCTTCTAGATTGGAGGCGCTAGTTTGGACAACACCCTTAGGCTTTCTATTAGTAGATAGCCCCTGTCCCACCCACATCTTCCTCTCCTTTTCAAGATGAGACTTGATCTCCCTCACTTCCTTATTAGTCTTATCCTTTAGCTCCTTCATATCCTTCTTGAGCCCAATGACTACACGGCGTTCTTTCGACAATTTTTCCTCGCTTTGCGTCCTTCTAGCTTTTTCCTTGTCAAACTTTTCCGACCAGGCAGAAATTTCCCGGAACAAATCATCGGACTTTTTGCTAGCCTGGACTTTGGCCCGCCTCAACGATTCCAGCTGCCTTTTCAGAAAGTCTATCTCGGCAGCCTGTGTAGAGGTGACTATGTTGTCACGACGGTGTGTCGTGCCATCTTGAGCGTCTGACAGTGATACAACGGTAGATGCGGAACTCGGGGTAGTGTTTCGACTCATGGTGAGGATATTTCTGGAGGCTGGACGTGGATACACTGTCTAGTTGACAAGTTGTGAAGGAAGGGTTATTCAAAGGAAAAGGGCGTTTTAATACAAACCCGCATCCCGCATTGTTCAAACAGTTCTCATAGTGAACATGACCTCGATTTATATCTTTTTTTCCTTCGTAATATACATTCAATGTGTCGTAGCCTCATAATGTCTTAAACAATGCTTGTCTTGAACTTGAGGCCGAGGCAAGTGCGGCGAGGACATAGCACTGCTGCACTAAACCTGACATTGTGTTAACAAACTGGTTTCACGATACTACGATACGGACTGAAGACAAGGGCCTGTGCTCTCCGTCACTTGGTAACTGCGCATGGTGATTTTGGCAACATTGGAAACAGTGAAAGGAATTTTTCTATCTTGCATTGGTGAAGACGAGAAATCCGTTTGCCGCAAAATCTAATATAGCATTTGGTCATGGTAACTAACCAAAAATTCGACCTTCTAAATAAGCATTGAGCAAGAGTAGCACAGTCAATACATAGTGAAGATTCACGTTTGATAGCAAAATCATATATTTAATGCAAGAGCAGTAATGTAGCCGTGGCCTCTTTCGATATCGTAAATCATCACATGCTCTGAAATATATTGTGACGCAAACTGCGTATCTCAAAATGGTCGAAAGGAGTAACTTGATCTCCAAGAAAATATCTCTAAGCAGCGCGCTCGATAGTAGTGGTTCCAGTCTTGCCGTGATCCACGACCGTGCTGTCTCGAACCTGGTTAACCGTCTTCTCGGTTGCCCTGGTAGCCTCATCGGCAAGATCGTCTTCGAACACTGGGAGGCAACAGTCAGCAGATGATATTTGTGGGAAATGATGGAGAGCGAGGAGATCAACTTACAGAACGCTAATTCTTCGAGCGTGCGGTTGTACGTCTCAGGGTACATGAAGTAGATGAACGAGAATTCAAACGAGATCCATGCACAGTAGATGGCAAAATACTTCCACTCGATGGCAGTAAGGGCGATGGGGTTGACGTAGATAGAGAAGAAGCCAGCCAGTTTTCCGAAAATCTGTTCGATACCGATACCCATGGTACGTTGCGCATAGGGAAACAGCTCGACAAGGTAGGTATATGTGAGCGAGTTGTTTCCGATGTTGTAACAGGGAGAATAGGCAAAGTAGAAGAACAGAGATGCGATTTGGGCCGATGAGTTGGTGGTTCCGGCTCTGTCGGCTTTCTGAAGCGAGTGCAGCGTAATGGTAATGGCCATGAAGACCATGACCATGGATCCAGCGGAAAGCATAAACATCTTACGACGGGGGAATCGGGTGACGACAAGAGCGATGATGACAGCGTTCAACAAACTCCAGCACTGGTTGGCCATGTTGATGCGCGTCTTTGTGCTGTTATCGGTAAAACCCATCAGGTTGAAGAGCAGCTTTTGGTAGTAAGAGAGCAGAGTATTACCGCTCATCTGGGTGAACAGACCCAAGAAGACGGAGATGATGACACGGCGGCGCATTCCAGGAGTTCGGATCATGTCCATCCAGGATTGCTTAGAGTTCTCCATCTCGAGCTTGATCGTGGATCGAATCTGGGCCATTTCAGCTTGGACGAGGAGCGAGTTGGCGTCGTCTTCAGCGTGGTATTTGACCAAAATGGCATAGGCCTCGTCGTCACGGTCACGGGAAATCAGAAAACGTGGGCTCTCGGGAAGCAGCCTAGCCATGTCAGCGAGTGTCGTTCTGGAATCGAGTGGTATCTTACCAAACCGTGCAAATCTGCAGAATCGAAGGGCAGATCTGCAGAAGCGAAGGAAGTCGCCAGCCCCAGTTTCCACCAATGGTGGTTGTCTTGATTGAGATGGCAGCGGCCGTGATGGAACCGATAAAGTACGAAGCATTGAAGAGAGAGGTCATGAATGGTCGTTCTTTCGGGTGGGCAAGCTCTCCAATCAAGGCCGATCCGGCAATGATGGCGAAGAGAATTCCGAATCCGAGTAGCATACGTGCAATGATGTACATGGCGACTAATGATTATGAGAATTAGGATCTGATAATGGGCATGGAGTGAAACTTACCATGCTGGGCAAATCCCTGAAGAATAGCGCCAATAACCATGATGACAGAACCAACGAAGATGGCCATGCGTCTACCATAACGCTGGTTCAGCCATGGGGCGATAGGAACTGCGAGAATGGAACCGAGTTGGTAGCATGCAGACATGAAACCGATGATTTTCGGGTTGATGGAGTGCTCTCCATCCTTGTCAAGGTAGCCGTCTCCGAAGTCTATCTTTGTTAGTAAGGGGCCAGGAGCACAAAGCACATGGAGGACATACACTTGTTGAAGGGGACCGAGAATTGAAGGGTGCCAATGAGTTGAGAGTCGAAACCAGATGTAATCTCAACGCCCATGCAGCAGCAGAAGAGCCAGACATACATGAGTCGGAGGTTTCTTTTTTTCCACCATCGGACCTTGTCCTGCTCCAACATGCGGGTGATGATGGGCTCGGCAGCAGTGCCCTCGGCGAGTTTCTGAACGCCCACCATGATGACGATGGTTTTGGTAGCAACGAAGTGAGGGAATGGGTACCAGGAATGGAGCACAGTGGGGGTTGACATACTTTATACAGCCTGCCGCCGCAAACACGACCCACTACCCCGGCTCGTTACCCCAGATGGTCCGGGGCAAGGGTATGCTAAGACGGAGACGGTGACCGTATTACCGAAGCGCCACCTTGTATTGGAGAAGCGTCTCGGCGGAATGGGCTTGCATAGCTTGGCACCGGTTAAATTGGGCGTGGTGGTCCAATGACCGGGCGCTGCTTGACCGAACGCTGGTGAAAGAAGGCCGAACTGTCGCCTCTTTCGAACACAACCGCTGCCTCAACCGTGTGTTTAACCTGTCCATTGTCAGTCATCCAGGTCGTCGGTGGTTGCACTATCGAGTTGCAGTGGCGCTCCTTGCCGCTTCCCTCGTGTCTGCCCCTAGCGTGCCCTGCTTCCCGCCGGCTCGGTGTGTGTGCCGGAAACGTACATATTGCAGTCGAATTTGCCAATATCTAGCTACTATACGATGCAGAATCGGAGTTTTACATCATATTGCTGTGGCCATGGCTGGCCCCCACACTGCACGTGGTTTGGTAGGGGGAACTGGGAATAAACAACAGTAGTATAAACAAGGCCAAGCTAGGGATATGAAAATCTGACAGCGCCTGACATCTGTTGCCGCTCGCATACGGCAAGACCGATAAAGCGCATGCCGGAGCAGTGGGCGGCCTGTATGTGCGACAAGCGTAGTCATTCGTGTGAATCTCTTCCCACCCAAACCAAGCCCGTGGCTCAATCAATGCACCCGTGCCACCATCGGCAGCTGGGGAGGGCAGACGTACCATTTGCTCCGACTGCGTAAGCGAAGGGATTAATTGTGGATCGCTATGCCCACCACCTATGCAGGTCAATTAAGACGAAAGTTGGCACGTTGGTCGCCTTATTAAATTATAGCGGTTTTGTGGAATCCTAGAAGAGTGTGAGACGTTGGCCAAGTAATACAAAAAGAACCTGCGTCGCAAGGTAGTTTGTGTGTGGGAGACCCGGCCACATTCCCTCCGGAGTGCGGACAGCGGTAACCCGAAGGATCATCACGTGGCCAACACGAGGCCGACAACAAGCGCATCCAAATTCTGGGCATGATGGCACAATTGTGCGCTACCATTACTCGTTTTTCGCATGACCAACTGTCACTACAAACAGTGGCAGACGCTGTGCCAGACAATGACTAACAATTACGCGGCGGCGTAAAACTTTCCGGCTCGGCTGACAATATCACGATTACCAAGACACATGTCAGCAAAAGGAGTATTTGAAGGAAATAGTATCATTAAGCGTACGGCTACAGGAACCCATAACATGCTAACAAGACTTCGTAACAACATATCGTACACGCCAAGAACAAACGCCGAGTCCCACGTCCCCTAGAGACGGGACAAGAACAAGTCAAAGAGATAGTTTGGGGTATCATTTCCTAGGTGGCTAGAAGCTAGCCGTGGGTACAGGTTGAAGTGTAACAATAATAAGTCGTTGCTTAGACGTTGGTCATAGGAGGGGCGGGGTCACTGCTTGCTGAGCCACGGATGTGTAGCGCAGCAAGGATAGTGGTAGCGACAAATGTCAACCTAGTCCTGTCAGAAAGCTGTCACAACACACAAAGACATTAGGTTTACATACCAGAGGAATGCTCCGAAAATAATAGCAGCAACACCACAGCTCCAGAAGGTACCATGGCCAACCCACCACTCGCCACCCCAGCGCGTAGCCACAGCGACGAAAGCGGCGAACCAGAAGATCATGGTGATGAATTCGACTCCGGCGATAGCATACTTGTGGGCAGCTGCAGGGAAGCGGGTCGGTGCAAGGATCAGATAGGCGACAACGAGAAGGGTCCAGATGGAGGTGAAGAGCATAAACGCAACGCTTCCTGGTACCCAGGTGATGTATGCATCAACGACTAGAAAACATGATCAGCACAAGCTTTCAGAAACACCAAAGCCGATCTTTTTTTACTTACGATATGCGCTCAAGCCAAGCACGATGATGCTGAACAACACCTGGACGCCGCGAACGCCCATGAGGATAGCCGGAGCAACCATACTGGCGATATATCAAATAGTAGGTAACGGGATAGGTTGCTTGGATTAGAGATCGAGCTTGGGGGAAGCTACAGATGGTGTTGGGAATATCTACTACGGTGAGGAGATTGGCAGAAGTGATGCGACGCAAGAGCAGCTTTCCCTGTGCTTTTATGCCTCTGAACCGCCAGGCGCAGCGATGATGGGTGCCATGACCATGGTGCGCTTGGTTTCAGGAAACCGACGTCACTCTAGGGTGGCGCATGACGACAAAGCCACAAACCACGCGTCTGATTGGCCGTTTGTGCCGAGCGATGCGACGTGGTCCACGACAACTTCTCGCTGCTTCTCGCTCTCTATGGTGGCCTTGCTTGCCCCTCAACACCCATCTTTGATCCCCCATCCTTTCATTTTACAAGGCTGCTGAAACCGCAGAAAAAAGGGTCTATTTCTGGATATGTTTTGCAATATTGTTTCGAAGACAAGGTCTTGCGACGGATGTTTTGGTGCCGGGTGTGGCGGTGCCTTACCCCACTTTTTTTCCAGCCTCTTCAATCCGTGACGCGGTGCCGAGCACCGCCAACAGACAACTGTAAGCCAACATGCCACCGCTACTCCGAGCCCACCTGTGCACATCAAGGCCGCATCTAGAACTTGTGCATTTGTTGTTGCCATTCAACATTCTGTGGCTCCGACACCGCCCATGGCAACAGCGTAATAGCAGTGCGAACAACCCGCGTTTCAGGTCATATGCCGGCATAAGGGCGACAACATTTCCAAGATGAGCTTCGGGAATAATGACATCTGTGACCTAGACTTGTCAAGACACGGTAGAAGACATGTTTGACGGGTGACCGCTTCGTGCTGCGTACAGTATTACCCTCGATGGACGCAATAGGCAGACTAGACTGCAATTCACCGAGTGGAGATGGACACAGCGTTGCCAACAAACTTTAATTGCTGGAGAACTTTCCAGACTCGTTACCCAACGTAATCTCCCTGGAAAAGAAAGAAACCGCGAGCCTCGCATAAACAGCATGTTGAACGTTAGCGCTGCTTCCCCTCCATCGCACTCTCCCCTCTAGTCTCTCCAGGCAAGTTGCGACCAAGCACCTATGACTCACCACTACACAATGAGATCCAAACAACAAGCCCAAAATGACGAGCACCAAGGTCATCCAAGTGGTTGGTGACCGCAAATGACGTCTCAAAACGCTGACGTCTTGGTGTTTGACTTTCGCGCTCGTAGCACCACAAACCTGTAAAACAAAAAATGCAAGGATGCAGGCAGTAAGAACTGTCGATCGCTAAAACGTGATCTCAACAACGGTCCCGTGTCACCTACGTGAACCAAAGCAACGTCGAGAAGAAATGTTTTTCTTTGAGCCAGTCTTTTCTACACATGGTGTGCGCTCAAATCCCCATCATCTCACCGCTCTACAGCAAGACACTTTTTTTGCCAGTCGCGCACCCGTCAACCTGCTTTTTTTCCTACTCTTCGAAACGAACATGAGGTACCCTTCGCTCCCTTCCCAACAGCCTCTTCACGTTTGCTCAGGCACCTAGTGGCCCATGTTTCTCGTCAATGCACATTGCAAGACGAGCATGTGGGTATGATGTGAGGGGAGGGGGAGGAGGGGGCCTAGTCGACACCACACTAGCGGGCCGTACCCCCGCTTTTCTGTATGGCCGCCCTTGCCTGCTGTAGTTTTTTGCCCTGCATGACCCTTGCGGGGTGTATTTCGGCCCCCGTTTATCTGCGTGTCGGTACGGCATGTTGGTGTTGTGCTTCTCGCGACATGATGCTGCTTTTGTTGGCTTGCGCGGTGTAAGCGCGTATCGATAAGGCTTTTGGTATTACCCAGGGATGCACCGGGTATGAGAATGAGAGTACGGCTGCCCGTTCATCGCATTTGGAGGCCTCATAGAGCCTTGGTAATACTAAATAGACGTATGTCTTCAGTGTAGAAGAATCGCAGCTACTGTAAGCGGGCTGAAGGGAAAACTAGCATCCAAGAGATCGTGCCAAGGTGCTGGGCTGACATAGAAAAGCTGTTCGTACCCTGTCATCACTAGCGCATCACGGTAAGATGCTTACAGACAGACAAGAGAAGTCAAGTAAGGCTTGGGATGATAAAGCCGTTTGGGAGCTGTCAAGGCCTGAGGCAGAAGAGTGTAAATTCAGACACGTGACCGTGACTAACTTCGGTCGATGGTTCTAGGGGAGTCGTGTTGGCTCAGGTTCAGGGTATTGTTTCAATTACCAATTCCAGTATTCAGTTTTCTCACAATGCCATTTTGCGATATAGAGAAGCTGTTTTATATCCAGGGCTTACTGTTCGCTGAATGGCGGAGGAACTTCCGATGCAGGGACGAGACGATTGGTGCGGAACATGAGATATGCCGGAATCTAATGTCAGCAAGAAAAGCGTAACTTTAACGACGTCCTTTGTAGTCTTGCATACAATTTTTGGGAGAAAAGAAGAGAGAAGAAAAAGAACCAGAGGAAAATTTGTGCGCAAAGCCATGGCAATGACTCCGTGTCTCCAAAGAGCTCTGCTGACCGATGGATACTAGGACGGATCGTATGAGCGAGGTCAGCGGACCAGAGTCAAGTGATGGCATTTTCCAAGCGCGACTTCGATACACATTTGCTATTCGGTTGCTCCCTGCTGCAATGCGCCCCTAATTGATTGCTGGTCTCATTAACAGTAGAGATTGGGTGACTAGAGCATGGCCAATAGGCGATAACCATTGTTACCAGCTCAAGGGGAACATTCCTCTACCCAATGTAGATGCACCAACGAATCCTTTGCCAAGTTTGCATTGATTTGTAGCCGGACGGTCGCCATTTGGTTTTTGTGGAAAAGCAAGATGTACGCAAGGATGGACAAGAATCGCTCCATCGGTCGGAAGTGTCGTCAAGAGCGTCGTGAGATGTGTGACTTGTTCACATTGTGGCAGGCGTGATTTCCCTAACAGTAATCTGGCGGGACCCGATTGGATTGATAGCCAAGTGTCAAACAAGAGCTGATGAAGGTTAGAAGTAGAAGTTGGAAGAGCTGAGGCAATGTGCGATAAGGGCAAGAAAAGCGATTAGCGTACTGGCAGCGGCTTGGCGTTCCTTCCAGAATCCAAATAGACCGAAGGAAACCTCACCCGCCCCTGCGTCACCAAGCATTCTATCGACGTTTGTCCGGAAATAAGTGGAGACGGCCGCAGGGGACATGGCCTATCAGCTGTGCGCCGTGATTGTGGGGAGGGATGTATCGACTGTTCCGCGAGCTGTTGGAAGATGCAGACTGCAGTGATTTTGGATCTACCTTCCTATCTAATGAAAACGCGCTCCGATAATCCAGGTGGCCAACACCAAGCGTCCCCTAGGGCCCTTGTTTATCCGGCAGGCCGATTGCTTTGGGCTCCTTGGCAAACACCAGTCGGCCTTGGGACGCTTAACACCTGCTCAATGCGGAAGCTCGAATGCGAACATCAATTAGACCAATTTGCGCATCGACGGTACATAAAGAACACAACACTACCATATTGCACAGCACGGTCGATTTGGCGTTTTCGTCTCGTCTTCTTGCACGACAACTTGTTCACACGACCAAGTGGTGCGAGGACGTCATCCGTGCGCCCCGGGCTGCTGCGTGGGCTTCCATCACTGACCTTCTTTGTTGAAAGGTTCTGGGGTCTGACCTCATATCTCTCCTCATCATGCGTTCTTTCGCCTTCCTCGCAGCGATATTGCCGCTAATTCAGGCCATTGAGCCTCCCCGCAAGCCACACCAGCCTCTTGGCAACGGTTCCAAGCGCCTTTCCTACAACGAGACCACCGCCAGCCCTGGGTCCTTGGCTGCTAGCTCCCGTTCATTTAGCTGGGTTGGAACTGGCAAAGATGGCGATTATATCTACCCAGCCGCTTCTGGAGACCTTGTTTTCGAGAATGTCGCAACGGGTGAATCATCCACCTTCATCTCCGCGGATAAGATCCCAGAAAACTACTGGGACTTTTTCATCTCGCCCGATGCTAGCAAAGTCATGTGGGCTGTCAACTACACCAAGGAGTACCGCTACTCGTACTATGCCGACTACCTGATCATGGACGTCGCAACTGGCGAGTCTGTGCCTCTGGACCCCGAGCAAGCTGGCGACATTCAGTATGCTGAATGGAGCCCTGTTTCCTCATCCCAAGTCGCCTTCGTCAAGGGAAACAACTTGTATGTTAGCACAAATGGCACCATTGCTCAAATTACCGAGAACGGCGGCCCAGACTACTTCAACGCCGTCCCCGACTGGGTTTACGAGGAGGAGATCTTTGGCGACCGCTACACTCTGTGGTTCTCTCCCGATGGTACTAGGATTGCTTTCCTCAGCTTCAACGAGACCGGAGTTGGCTCATTCAGAATCCCATACTATATTGACAACGACTCGGAATATGTGCCCGTATACCCCAATGAGCTTGAGCTGCGTTACCCCAAGGTCGGCACCAAGAACCCCACTGTCGCTCTGAACCTGCTCGAGGTTGAGTCCGGAGAAGTCTCAAACATCCCAATTAATGCTTTCCCCGAGGATGACCTCGTCATTGGTGAAGTTGCCTGGCTGACCGAGGGCCACAGCAAGGTCATCTACCGTGCCTACAACCGTGTTCAAGATCTGGAGAAGCTAGTGACTGTTGACGTCGAGGCCGGCTCGTCCAAGGTCACCCGTGAGCGTGACGGCACCGATGGCTGGCTCGAGAACTTGATGCAGATCCGTTACATCGGTGCTCTTGAGGCTGGAAATGTCACTTCCGGCAACTCCACCGAGTTCTACCTTGATATCTCTGACCAGAGTGGTTGGGCGCACATCTACCTCTTCCCAGTCTCTGGTGGAGAGCCAATTGCACTCACTTCCGGAGAGTGGGAGGTTCTCTCCATCCTTAAGGTTGATTATAAGCGTGGCCTGGTCTACTACACTTCCACCGAGCACCACAGCACCGAGTCCCACGTGTACTCTGTCACCTTCTCTGGAAAGAAAACCGCCCTTGTCAACGACAAGGAGGCTGCTTTCTGGACTGGCTCTTTCTCGTCCGGCGGCTCTTACTACGTTCTACGATATGCTGGCCCCGACGTTCCATACCAGGAACTGTACTCGCTCAACTCGAGCCAGCCCATCCGCACCATTGTCAACAACAGCGCACTGTACAACAAGCTCCAGGAATACAATCTGCCTAAAATTACGTACCTGGACCTGGAGCACCCATCAGGCTACACGCTCGATGCCATGCTTCGTCTCCCGCCCAACTTTGACCCCAGCAAGAAATACCCTCTCATCCTCATCCCATACGGTGGACCCAACGCTAAGGAAGTGCACAAGCAATTCAGCTCACTGAACTGGAAGGCGTACATTGCCTCTGACCCAGAGCTCGAGTACATCACTCTCACGGTTGATAACCGCGGTACTGGCCGCAAGGGCCGTGCCTTCCGCGCCACCGTAACGTCCAACCTGGGCCAACTTGAGGCCGAAGACCAGATCTGGGCAGCCAAGGAACTTGCTAAGAACTCTTGGGTTGATAGCGAGCACATTGGTATCTGGGGCTGGTCCTACGGTGGCTACCTCTCCTCCAAGGTCGTCGAAGTCGGCGACCCAATCATCAGCTACGCCATGATTACCGCCCCCGTCAGCGACTGGCGCTTCTACGATTCCCTCTACACCGAGCGCTACATGAAGACCCCTGACATCAACCCCGACGGCTACAACCGCAGCCGCGTCCACGACGCCACGGGCTTCAAGAACATTGCAGGTGGTGTCGTAATCCAGCACGGTACCGGTGACGACAACGTCCACTTCCAGAACGCCGCTGCCCTCGTCGATCTCCTCATGGTCAACATGGTCAGCCCCGAGAAGATGCAAAACACCTTTTTCACCGACTCGGATCACAGCATCAACTTCAACAACAACGGCAAGTTCTTGTACAAGCAGCTGAGCAAGAAGCTGTTTGAGGAGAAGAACAGAAAGGGAGATAGCAAGGGCAATCACCAGTGGAGCAAGAGGGCTGCTTCTGCCACCAAGTGGACTGCGTAAAGCATATTGTAACGAATTGTGTATTATTCTCAAGGCAGAAAATCTTGTAAAAAGTAATCCCTAAGTTTAATGAAAACGGAAATCATATCCATCCAAATCTTCCCAAACAACTGAAGTCATGCTTTTACATAGATTCTTTCTAACCTCATAGCATATCTCAAGCTTGTCGACATGAACATTAGAAATATTCACATGGTTCTTCGCTGCATCATACCCCCTTCACATCGCCGCCCTCTCCCTACACTTCCCGCACTTCCACTCAAACCGCACCATGACGCCCTTCCAATCCCCTGCTTCACCCACACTATCCAGCTGATTCAGCGCGGTCCCACATGCACTGGCTAGATCGTGGTACACATGCTGCTTGAGTTGCATGTACACGTGTGTGTAGGAGATCCGGGTTGCTTTGAGGAGGTGGATGCATTCGCTGTGGGAGACGAGGGGGAGGTTGGTGAGGGGGTTTGTGGGTGTGATTGTGATTGTGGGAGGGGCGAGTTGTGAGGGGGTGAAGGATTTGGGGTGCCGTGGGGGATCGGTGCGGTTGCTGGGGTTTGGGGGGTTCTGGGGAAAGGACATGATTGGATTGGTGGTTGTAGGGTATTGGATAAAGGGAAGAGCGAGGGTTGAGAGGAAGGGAAACGGTGGTAATTTAGGTATATGCTTGTTTGTATTTGTCTACTATCTGGAAGCGTCATGTTTTTTCGGGGCGCTTGTTTTTCGTTATGTGTTTGTGTGGGTGAATGATGGAAGTGTTTAGTAATGTCTCTACATTTCTGCGGTTGTTCGTGTTTTCGGGTTTGTTGGATAGTTGTATCCTGTCAATCAACTGTCTCATTGGCGATTTTGGTAAGTCACATTTGCGATGCTTCTGTTGTGTTCTTCGGGGTTGGTTTGGTGTTTCTTTGATGTTCTAGATTTACAGTGCAAACTTGATCTAAGAAGGGATAGGTGAAAGACGCACAATCAAAACTTGAAATCTGGTACTACTAAGAAATATCTTGGTGTGGCATCATTAGTCGGGGTTGGAAAGACTGGTATCAGGATATCAGTTGTGATGGTGGTTTTGGTGGACAGACATTGTGTGACTGTCGCAGAATACCCAATTTCCAAGGTTCCAATGCAAACCCTCGCCAACCTAGCAATATACTCAGGAGATGGCAAAATACAACTTAGAATCGGATCTGAGCACCCGACGCATGTTTTGCAGGCGGTTTTAGAGACTTGTGGTATGTAAAAGTGAAAAGTGTGACAATCGAATGTAACATAAGGATGGCTTATTTTGATCGTGAACCTGGAACTTTATTCATTCCATATACATCAAATGCAACCAAACTCACAGTTACTGATGGATGCAGTTGCACAAGTATGACCCACTGCCTCGTGAAGCCGCCAGTCATGCGGAGGAAGTGGTTTCTGATTGGTCAAGCGCACAGACTCTTCTAAAGTTGAGCTTCTACCGTGAGCTGGTTGTACATTGTTTGTCTCCAGCAGGGCCGACAACGCCAATACGCTCTTTTTCCTCACGAATCCCTGGAAAAACTCGAGCGCATTCAGATTTCTCAATCGTGTCTCCGGTGGATATTCGACTTGGATACCAGCGCATTTCGACCGCCAGACTACTCGCTCCAGCTCGACGTTTTGAGTAGCGGCTCGACTACCCGATTGCGAATCCTCTCGTGTAGCTTTCTTACACTCGCTAGGGAAACGCGAGGCGATAAATTGTGTCTGGGGTCGAGAATACGGAAGCCGTAGCCCACCTGCTCGCCCTCAATCAGCTTCGGATATCTCTATACACCAACTTATCCTCCCTCCTCACAATGGCACTGAACGCCTACCTAAACAGTACGCACTCTATTTCCTTCCTTCCAACACAGAAACTCCTTGTATACGCTTTCTTTTAATCTGTTCTCAGCAGCGTAACTAACAGCCCACTCCAGAGCGCGTATCCGTCCTCACGGTCGACGGACGCACCATGGTCGGCCTCCTGCACTCCTGCGACGGCAGCATGAACCTCGTCCTCCAAGAAGCCACCGAGCGCATTATTCGACCGGTAGAAGAAGAGATACCTAGCGAAGAAGTTCCCTTGGGCCTTTACATTATCCGTGGCGATAGCGTAGCGGTTGTAGGACGTGTGGACGAGGAGATTGATGGCAAGATTGATTGGAGTAAAGTTCATGGCGAAGTGTTGGGAAGTACAAAACACACGTGATCTGGCGGATACGAAAAAGAGAGGGAAATGGAGCATTTTGGAGATCTTAGGATGATTGAGGCAAAGGAATGTCCAGGGCGGGAAGGAGAAATGGCACAAGCATGGTTAGAACTGCTAAAGCGCGCAAAAGAAGATTTGGAATCTTTTTGTATTTTGGAATCTATGATGGTATGATACCCACGAGAAATAGCGACAAGAAAAAAACGCTGAGTATGTCACTTTCTGTTCAAATATGTAAGCATGCTGTGTAGTGAGCGATATGTTTCCTAACATATATATGCTTGATGATGGTATCCCTTGACAAACCTTCAACTCCCTTGCCTGTATGCTGACTGCATTTTTTATCGCCTGCTTATACCCACCACCTCAACTTACTGAATACTCCTCCCCACGCCCTGTCCAATACCCACAATATTCTTATGATCACTCGGATTCGCCGCAGCCTCATACATAACACTAACCGCCTCCTTGTTCAACTTCATATAATCACCCTTGAACGCCAAATAGCTAATCCGCGTCTCCTCCTCGCCACCCCAGTTGTCCTCGAAAAACAGCGCTAGACATCTCGTGGTGCCAAACTTTGCGCGCTTGACTGGAATCTCCTGGACTTCGCTTGTCTGGCTGATTTCAAGCACTTGGGTGGGTTCCTTCTCGCTGGCAGTCTCAAAATCGAGGGCGTCTTCGTTGATGAAGACTTTGAGGGTTTTGGGACATGAGCCGCTTGGGCTGGTGCGCAGGATGATGCTGTGCAGACGTACTTGGCCCGTGAAGGGGACAGTCATGAGGAGTTGCTCATCAGCGCTAGATTTGAGCTCTGGTTGTGGGTCTAGGCGCTGGGCCCATGTTTTCTGGCAGATGGCGCGGCCGCTGTTGGATTCATCTTCGTTGAGGGTGACTAGCTTGGGGAAGTCGATTTGTTCGTAGAGAATGTTTTGTAGGGCGGGTGTGATGTCATCGCTGTGATCATGGCCGTCGCCATGCGAGTGGTCGTGGTGTTCGTCATGGCAGTGCGAATGTGAGTGCGACATGTTTGGGTGCACGTTGGTGGATGTTTGTATGTATGCGGGTCTGGTGTGGATGGTGGGGGCGGGGTAGCTTAGACGAAGCTTTGGTAGCTGGTACCGATGTGATGAAGACTGGGAAGGGAAGATGAACACAAGCAGAGACGCTATTCATATAATTTAGTCTTTCTCATAAATCGCCAAGAGAGATGTGCGGGGAAAGGGAATAGCAACGCATCCAAGGAAAAGATATTCTTCATAAACATGACTCGTCGCGAAGGTTCTATGCACGTGGTAAACGCATCCACCGACCTATAGGCCTGTCTTTGACTAGACACTTGCGTATAGGAATGTTTTTAGACCTGTATTGCCGCCGAATCCTCCATATGATGCTCAGAAACACCCAAACGCCGCGCTCTAATGCCATGCCTACGTCATTGTATACTTCATCAAGCCAACATGGGTTGCGAAGCCTGCTCAGCAGCCCGTTCTTTCGCCCTCCTTGCCGCCCGGTCCTTTGCCATCTGTGCCTTTTCCTCTGGAGTAAATTGCGGTTGTGCCTCAGGCGCGTCAGGCAAAACCAACTTGGCGCCGTTCACCTCGGCTTCGAGGGCCTCGAGTTCGTCTTCGACTTCGTCCTCGTCTTGGTTGGACATTTTGTTCGCAAGCATTTCGCTGATTTCCTGTTGCGCGCACATCAGTATGGTAGTGCAAGGTGAGACAGTTGGGTAGTAATACCTCCTGATACGCCCGAGCCTCTTCGTTCTCCCCAAGAAGCTTCTCGACATTCTCTAGGCCGCCCATTTCTTTGTGAATTTCCTTCAGCACAGCTGTTCCCTGTTGTAACCCGTACAGGACATCTTTCTGCACAAGTGCGAACTCGATATCGCTCGTAAGGACTTCCAGCTGTGCCAGCTGTGAATCTGTCTTGGATAGCAGCGACTCTTGATACTTCTTCCTCCTCAGCGCTAGCTTCGCACTCTTTGTGTCGCCTTTTGCTAGACATTGCTTTGCGATCTCCTTCTCACGATCGGTAACAACAGTGATGCGCTTCTGGTACTGTCGCAGCTTGTCCCGCTGGTTCTTCATGTCCAGGATCGCTCTATCTTATTAGTATCAGCTATGACACACTCAAGAGTGACTCACTTGTCCTGGGCAGAGATTTTGTTAGCGCTATTTGAGTTCCCCATGTTGTTGATGTCTCCATGAGCGTTGGGAGGTGCGCATGCGACCTCGCAGTCGGGTCTCCATGCCTTGGTTGGTGCCGGCAGGTCGCCCGATCATGGGTCATTAGCGCGATACCATGAGCGATTCACTAAGCCCGAAACGAGATACGCTAATCTAATATAGCACAATACCGTCAGAACACAACAAGACAGGAAGCAACTCAGTCGACGAGAGTCTCTTAACATGGATTTACACATAAGATGTAATCGCTCTGACTCGAAGCATTCTCCTGTGGAAGGAGGACCCTTACATGTTGACTTATCACTCCAAGTTGATAGCAGCATTATAACAGCAGTAGTATGGTAGCAAGACAGCAGGTCCGTGTCAAAATGAGCCTGTGGCTATTTTCTGTAGACTCATGTGGATAAAGGGTCTTGTGGCTCTGTCTTTTTCTATGGTAAAGGTGACAGAGGTATCCTGACGGTGTCCTGGCTGACCTCTGAGGAAAGAGAACTCGCGCTAGTGTTATCGATAAGAACCGCGAATTATTTTATGCGCGTCCAGGCTGTCCGCAATCACCGTCGTAACAACTATCGGCAGAGACTATTGTCGCCGACTATCGTCAACCGCCATTCTCAAGCACCATTTCCAAAGGCCATTTTCGGCAGCTATCTTCAATCATCATTGCCAACCGCCATCTCCTACTATTGCTAACCGCTATTTTCAACCACAATCGTCAATGACCATTGTTCACTACTGCTGGTAGCTACATTCACTACACTGACACACTCATGCCGTCAAAAGGCCGGCCCACGCTACAATCTGGCTTGGATAAGGACGTCTACCAGGTGGTCCAGAAATATCTAGACGATAAAGGAGAATCACCGCTGAAGCTACAGGTCCATACAGTATATGAATACATCCAAAAATCGAACTCCAGCTTAAAAAGGCGGCCAAAGAAGCAGCTCGAAGACTCTATTGACCGGGTAATTGACGTCATCCGGGAAAATGAGTCTGGCGATGATGAAGAAGACGAACTAGCTGAGCTCGAGGGAAACTTCACCATGGACGAGCCCAAAGACATTTCTGGCGACTGGATGAACCGCCAGATCGTCAAACAATGGCCCACATCCAAATCCACTAATGGTGAAAAGAGCAAGAAAAGGGACAGCGGCAAATCAAAGGAGGAACGCGATAGCAAGAGGCAAAAACGCGCAGCCGCCCAAGAGAGTAAGATCGAAATTGCAGCACCTACCGGCGTGACCTTGGAGGACCTTGGAGGTGTCGAAAAGGTCAAAGGGCAGCTTAAAGAGCATTTAGTGCTGCCCTTGCTGTGTCCGCAAGAATACGCCAATCGGAAAATCCCTATACCTCGCGGCATACTCCTCCATGGCCCACCGGGATGCGGCAAAACAGTCATCAGTAGGGCGTTTGCGGCCGAGCTCGGCGTCCCATTCGTCGAAATTCTTGGTCCTTCTGTCGTATCCGGTATGTCGGGCGAGTCAGAAAAACAGATTCGCGAACACTTTGAAAGAGCCAAGGAGGTTGCGCCATGCCTAATCTTTATCGATGAGATCGACGTAATCGCGCCAAAACGTGACAGTGCGCAAAGCCAGATGGAAAAGAGAATAGTGGCTCAGTTACTCATCTCCATGGACAGTTTGGCCATGGAGGGCAATGACGGCAAACCGGTCATTGTGCTAGCAGCGACAAACCGCCCAGACAGTCTGGATCCAGCACTTCGACGTGGAGGACGTTTCGACACGGAAATCAACATGGGCGTGCCAAGCGAACCGATGCGCAAGTCAATCCTTCAGGCTCTCACAAGGGGACCGAAGCTATCGCCAGACGTTGACTTCGACATATTGGCAAAGCGGACCGCCGGTTTTGTTGGTGCAGATTTGAAAGACCTTGTGAGCAAAGCAGGAACTTGGTCAATGGATCAGTATCGTTTGGCACTCGAAAAGCAAGCAGCCAGCACAGAAGGCGCCATGGACATAGATGACGAAGCGCTTCCTAGTTCGGAAGCGGTCATGAATAAGTCGATTCGACGGTTGATTCAGCGAGTGAAGGACACAGAGGCTCCACGTCCCGAAGGTTTCGAAGATACAGTCATCTCCATGGAGGCCTTTGAAGCCGTTCTGCCAACAATCACCCCCTCATCGAAACGAGAAGGCTTCGCGACAGTACCAGACACTACATGGCGCGATGTGGGTGCGCTCGGGGGCGTCCGGGAGGAGCTTGAGATGGCCATCTGCGAACCCATCAAAGATCCTGCAAAATTTGCTAAATTTGGCATCTCAGCGCCCACCGGAGTATTACTATGGGGTCCACCAGGTTGTGGTAAGACGCTTCTAGCCAAGGCCGTGGCCGCCGAGTCCAAGGCAAACTTTATCAGCGTCAAGGGACCAGAGCTATTGAACAAGGTAAGTGGACAGACTGGGCAAAATTTCCCTTTGGACGGACACTCTAGCGAATACCCTACTCTTGTATTACATTTTATTAACTTTCTGTGTCTAGTATGTCGGAGAGTCAGAACGCGCGCTCCGCCAAGTCTTCATGCGCGCTCGCTCATCGGTTCCATGCGTTATCTTTTTCGATGAACTTGACGCACTTGTACCGAAGCGCTCCACGGAGCTCCATGAAGCCTCTGCTCGTGTCGTAAATACACTCCTAACGGAACTTGATGGCCTCTCCATGCGAGACGGTATCTATCTCATCGCCGCAACAAACCGTCCCGAGATGATTGACGACGCCATGCTACGTCCTGGCCGTTTAGAAACCCTCCTTTATGTTGAACTTCCCAAGCCAAGCGAACGAGTGGATATTCTCAGGTCTCTCATTCGCAAACGCGGAGTCATAAACCCCGAGCTGGCCGAAATTGGGCGCCAGGACGTTTGTAGAGACTTTTCCGGTGCTGATTTGGAGAGTCTGCTGCGCAAGGCGGGTCAGCATGCCTTCAGGCGGCAAAGTGAGTCTATTGAGGAGTTGGACTTTATCGAGGCAGCGAAGACAGTACGACCTAGTGTCGGTGATGTCCAGAGATATGAGAGATTGAGAGAGAGGTTCGAGACGAAGCTATTCATTCAGAATGAATAGTTTAGTAGTGTTCTTTGAGTCATAGTCTTTTTTCTTAGGTAAACAGATATATCCATCCAGGACTCGCGCGTGGCATAATAGAGACTCATATGTAGTTTAATAGAGCCTCGCGCATCATATGATAAGAAATCGAGGGACATGAGCTTCCACTCAGCCGCATTAAATCCAACCCAGTGTGCATCCCAAACCTGCTTCTTCATAGCCATTGTATCCCCGCATACATATGTATATCTGCTCTTCCTTTACCCAAGCCGTTCTACCAACATCTAAGCATCCATCTTCGGGAACCCAATACTCACCGCTTCATCCACATTTCCAGCCAGCAGAAACTCCTTGATCCAGTTCTTGAAGCCTTTTCCGGTCTTCGTCTTAACTTCTCCAATATCTTTGTGTAGTCCGCTATCACTGCTATCCCCCGAGCTACGCGAGTCCACTTTCTCAGGCGTCAACCCCCTAGTATCGTCGGTGACCGAACCATCCACTTCCTGCGCATGTCGAAACAACGGATGCACATCCTGCGCACATCGACTCAATGGATGCCCCATCATCCCCGTCACATCACCTCCGTCCCTACCTCCAACCCTCCTCTTCGGAAACAACCTCGGCATCACAAACCCTGTCGGCGGCGGCATCATCATCACCCGCACATTCCCCTCACTAAACCCCGCGGCCCGCAGCTCGCTCCGCGCCATCTCCTGTTCCTCGGCCAGAATCTCTCGGATCCGTTCTTGCCTCTTGCAAGCGAAGCACGGAATCTGTGCGCTGGGCTTCTCGCGGTGCTGTTTGTAGCGCGGACAGGCGCGGGCGGCTGAAGGGGTGCGGAAGGAGGGTGGGACGACGAGGGAGCAGTAGGTGCGGTTGAGGAGGCGCGAGTGCGTGCAGTGGCGGTGGCGGGAGAAAGTTTCTTTGCACATGTGGAAATGTTTGTGTGGAAGTTGGTCGAGGATGCGTTTGGTTGGGGTGGTGGGTATTAGGGGGGTCCGATAGGTGAGCGGCGGTTTTCGAGATGAGGCTTTGTTTGCTATCGGATAGATTGGGGTACTTTGTGAAGAAGGACGAGATGGGCGCTGAGGTTGGTATTAAGGGGGTTGGTTGAGGAGCGTCAGCGCTGTGGAGAGAAGCTGTAGCTTGAAGGGAGGGTAAGGAGAAGAGTCATTGTGTTTGTTATGGCTGATTTTCATCGTGATAGCTGATTGTGTGTGAAAGAGCAGGGAAGTGAACGGTGAATTGACACGAAGCTGTAAGCAGTAATGGGTGAAGAGTGAGTTGAGGCATTTGTGCGCATTGATTCAGGCGGTCGTTTGGAGTGACTGCCCAAATTGCACTTTCATCGCACAATAAGCTCTTCAAGACGCTTTTCTACCTCTGTTTACAACAGAGCCATATCCTGCATTGTACTGTAGCTATCAAGGAGGGTGCAACAACAAGTCTGTTCTCATGGTCCCTATACTTGTGGACTTTGAAACTATCATGTCCGCTTGAGAACATCGCTGGATACCAGCCCTGTTCCTGCCCCGTTGCCACACGGCCCGCGTCCAGTCCCTTCGGTAACCCGAACTTACTCCATCCGACACTGCTGCGCGGACCACCTACCTCGCACCACGGAACCAAAGAAATGGACTCATCTCTCAAACATCACAATCCATCAACCACCTCAATCAGGTATCCTCGAAAACCACTGTCGAAGTCTGCGGACACAAGCCCGAGCCAATACCATGACTTGACGAGCAGTGTTGCTCTATATGTGGCGTGATGTTATCCAGAGCATGTCAACTTTGGGCAACTTCGTCCAAGTTGCGTGGATCACTGCAAACAACGCCGAACCAATAAGTTTGCGCTCCCTTCTAAATCACTTTCCCCTTGCGTTTCTGTGTCAGCTTCGCCACCAGAACGAGTGGTTCTGAACATGGGTTTCGGCAAGGAACCACACAAACTTAGGTTGGGCCGCGGAGAAAAACAGCCCACGGAGCACAAATTTCTAGTTTAGGTAATTCGAGGAGAAGAATTATAGGTTAAAGCCAGGTTTTGAGCGACACTAGGCTTGTGAAACTAATCGTCGCCCGTTGTGTCTCGGCCATTTTGAGAAGCTCGTCTCGAGATGTCGTTGCGAGGAGGCGATGTGATTGGTTGAAAGGGGTATCACTGTATTATATAATCACCGGAACGGCGACACGGAGAGTTGGAGCGGAGGTGCTCTCGGAAATACTTGGAAAACGGTTATTGTACCCGCTTTGTAGGTGCAACAGGTTTCTTTGTGTTTCCATTAGTCCGTGTTATATCCATAGTGCTGTTTAAGCATGCCAAGACCGTCTAGGCATGGAAGCAGTGCAGGGGTGACTGTGTGAGTATCTCGATATACAATTCTTTTCGCAGGAAAGAGCAGTATAGGCAAGATGAGGAACTCAATAATTAGGAGAAATTCAAATTACCCTCCAAACCTGGTGGCCTGACTCCTGTCCCCCATCACTGCAACCCCGCCCCAACATTCAAATCTCCCAGCCAAACAGCCATTGGAGCGGACCACAAAACGTCAAAAACATTATAATGCACAGCTGCATAAAAACTAGCCAAACGATCACGATCAACACCCTCGCCCACTTCCCAACAGAGTAATCCCTCATTCCTCCATCGAACACTGTAAACTTCACCTCCGAACCACTCACATCGCTCCCCGTACTTTAACCCCCTGTCAAAGTCACGTTGCACCATCCTTCTCACTGTTTCACCTCCACAACCTTCCCTTTGTAGTAATTCAACAAGGAAAGGTGTGGAAAGTGGGTCCCATATCGGCGAAGCAAACCGGTGCAATAACGACTAGAGAGAGAGCACAAGAAAGAAAGACACTAACTACTACGCGACTGCCACTCCATAGGAAAGGGAAAGGGAAGGGGACGTGGGGAGGGAGGGGGGCGCGGGACGGGGCAATATTGGACCATATGAGTAATTTGACCCGAGGAATTGGGTACGAATATACGTAGGCGGAGAAAAATAAAAATAAACGAGGGTCTGGGTAATGGGGACGGTATTCATTACTAGACGGTGCGTGGGTTTTGGCTGGCGAATCAAGGGCGATGCCGAGATGGAGGAGGGCGGAGCGAGTACGCGCGATGTATTTAGTTTGCAGGATCTGGGCGATCACTTTAGGCTAGGATGGAGGAGTTGTGGATTTGTGGTGTGATACATTTTCTCTTTTCATACGCTAATATATTTTATTGTAACTATTCCAGATAGTACCGTATGCTTGAGATTTCTACACTTGGTCGTTTGGTGAGAAAACGTCTGCTTCAGAAGATGCACGACATCAAAACCCTTCAAAGTAAAGTTTGACAAAAGATTGCTTGTAGGCAATAGTAATCATTGGGACATCACATGCGATCTTCTTGTCAGACAACCTGTCCTTGCTTCCTAATCCTTGCGTCAATGATTGGCGCGAGGAACGGGCCCAGCCTTCCGGACCAGTCATGCGGAGTGTGATGTAAGGATTGTCTACCTAGTTTCATATCACCGCGGCCAAAAAAGAAAGAGCCCACGACTGAATTACACGGCCCAACATGCCTCAGTCATACACTATTCCCGCAACTCTTGGTTTCCCCCTTCTTTCGTAGTTAGAGCGGACTTTTCAATATCGATATCGACTTTCCATCTCTCGTTCCAGCGTGCCTAAACCCCTTGGCCCCTCGGCATTCATGGCACTCTCCGGGTGCCCCAGAATAATCGCCTGTCTGGCGCCGTATACAGCTCCGTCGTCGCCGCTGTCAAGCGGGACCGTGAGATCGCCTTCTCGTTCGCCGCCGCCCTCACCCTCCCACTTGAGGAACTTTTCAAACGCAGCCGTCCCCCGGACACTGCCCTTTTTGTCGTAAAACTGGATCATGCTGCGCATGGCCTCGATCCAGCGCGCGCACTCCTTGCACACAACCATGCCCCTACTGACATAGGTGCGGCGTGTTGGGTCTGCGCATCTTACAGCTGCGAGTTGGTGGTCAGGCAGGGTGGAGTAGTCTAGCTCGACGGTATAGGTGTACGAGCCCGAGCTGGAAACCGAGGTTCTTGGCGCAGATGCGCCCGACCGCCGAGAGCTCGTCGACGCACTGGTATTCGATCGCGAGAGCTGGCCGCTCAGCGAGAAAAAACGTCGTGTGGACGAAGTGCGCTTGGGCGGCGCTGTGGCTGGTGGGGAGACGGGTGGAGAGCCCGGCCCGCGGAGGTTGTTCAGCCGCTGGATGGCCTGGTCGCATAGTGTCCACGGATGCTCATGTGACTCTCCAATGTGCCCGCAGCCATTATGCTGGCTGTAGTTGTGGTAACACATTGCTGTGATTTTCTGGGTCCGGCGTGTCCAACTGTCGCCGATGACGTAATGCCGGTATCGAGTGCGCTTCGCTGTCGCCAAGCAAGGTAGAATCTGCAGGGATCAATGGCGTTGTTCTGCAGTGGAGTGGCCGATATTTAAACTAGCGAGCTCGAAAAATGTAGTGTGTGAAGGGCGTGATTGTAGTCTGTAAAAGAACAGTAAATGGCTGCAACCTCGGGATATTTGAATTCCAAAATGTGCCAGTTGTGACTCCCAAGCTGATCGTTCGCCAACACTCCTATTATGCCCTGGTGCCCTGGTGCCCTGTTTATCGCCGGGCGGTGAAGCGATACGAGCAAGGATGAAGCCAGTCACGTGCCTTCATCGACGTGGCATAAGTAGGGCCAACATTGGGCTGAGTTGATAAACGCCAGTCTTCCAAGAACGTGGAAGCGCCAGCACTCGGCTTATGCATCCCAAATTTAGACTTCTGCGCAGTGTGGAGATCGCAATAGGGGTTGTTGTCAAACTGTCACAGGATGCCTTGTCTTGCGTAGCGCGACAACTGTACTAGGCACGCGCGTCGGTGGTGACAACAGCAAAGAGTGAGTTTTCATTCTTATTATTACTGAGACAACAAACTCACTGATTCTGCCTCTGTTAGGTATACACAACTCATTGCGCCTGGTGTTGCAATGCCTTGCCCAATGACATCATAGCACTTGGGATCCGGTAAAGGGCCGGGCTGCATTCCTCCCTGACATGGCAGGCTAAGCAACTTTGAGTATCTCAACCGTGTCGCGTTGCAAGAGATAAGGGACCCAGGTAAAAATAACAGGTACAAAGAGCAAGGTAGACGTCATTCAGCATCGCGCAAGGGTGTTGGATTTTGAAGCAATGTCCAGACTGTTGATGATGCAGGGATTTGCGGACCCTGTTCGATACATTTATTGTGGTTGGCGCATAATTGCTCAAATGCTCCCCTCCTCGTATCAGTGATAACCGATCAGTGGCGAAGCCTTTTCTGATTTGCTCCAACAGACTGAGGTCATTGGTCTACATCTGGAAGGTTTGGCCGTAGGGCAAGCAGCACGAAAAGATCTCATATGCTTCCACCTCTTTAAGTAGGTAGAAACCACCTAGACACGACGTCTCATCGTTCTAGTTGGTCCAGATTACAGTACTAGTTGAGCTCTTAGATTCCTCATTGCGCATGGCGTGTCAACTCAGGGTACAGATGCGTGAGGAAAGTTTGGGCTGTATTCGACCAAGTCACTACCGTTCCCCACCATTTCAGACCCACCTGGTCCCTGCATAAAACGGCGATGCACGAAAATTCTAACCAACACTGTCGATCTAATGTTCGGGGCTCATAGAGCGCCATTGAGGTTCTTTCGTTATGCCTACCAAGCAGTCACACCATGTGGGTTTCAGGAAAGAGCTTTCTAAACTCAATCGCGACATGCATTGGCCAGTCAGATTAAAGGAGTTCTTTGCTCCCATAGTAAAAAAAGGATCTGAGACTCTGTCTGTGAACTGATTGGCCCTATAAGCATGTTGAGAAGCAACTCGCTGCCACATCTGTCACAAAGGTTAAAATCTTGGCATGGTGAAGAAGAGTGCCGTGGCGCCTGTTGATACCAATACCCCGTCTTGACATTGATGCTTGATGGGCAGCTGACATGATGTAGATCTTCGATGCAGTCATCATATTAGGTCGTCGAGGCGAAGTTTGGGCTGATCAAAGGAAGAGATAGGGCACCTTCGTACTGGAAAATAGCTCACTCTCTGGACCAAAGCCAACAGTGGTGACTGGTGCGGAAAGCAAACCTTACCAAAAGATATCCCTTGTTATGTTGAAACACCACAGCCATCACAGGATGAGAATCGGACAGCGAAAATTACCCTTTTAGGACAATGTAAGCATCGCAATCCATCCAATGGCAAACGCCTGTTGAACCACACGAGGCGTCATGGCGTGGCTCAGACGACTGACAAAGCCCAAGGCAACAGGAGGGTTAAGCACACGCTAGCGATCAAAGCGGTAAATACACATCACTTCTCAGAAGTCAGTTACTAAGTCCATCCAAGAGGATGCACTCGTTTGCGTGCCACAGGTATCCAGATGGCTTTTGAGCTACATGAGGACCTGTGGACTTCCACCCGCAGCTGATGCCCTCTCTATAGATCAGCTCATGCTTCGCCTCCACGAAAACGATCAAGGCCTCCAGTCCAGAAATGTGCTCGAGAAGTATAAAGAAAGAGTGAAAGGAAGGCCACAATGGCATACCCCATCACAACAACAGCCAGCATCGGAGTCTAACAACAAGTCCAACACCAATTCTCCCCATATTGATATCCAAGTCCTCTCTCTTGGTCAACAACCCAAAATGTCCCTCACCATCCGCAAAGTCCTCATCCCAACCCACGGCGACCCCTCCGTCGTCACCCTCACAACCTCCACGCTCCCCAACCCCTCCTCATCAGAAGTCCAACTCAAAACCCTCTACTCCAGCATGGGCGGCAGCGACATCCTCATGCGGCAGGGCATCTACCCTTTGCAACAAAAAGCGCCCTTGACCCCAGGCTACACGCTTATCGGGCGCGTCTACAAAAACGGGTCTCGCGCTAAAAAGTTCAACGAGGGGACGCTGGTCGCGTGTCTCTGCGTATACAATGGCCAGGCTACGTATAGTAATCAACCCGAGAAACATCTAGTGAGAGTGCCGGAAGGAGTGGATTTACAGCAGGCAGTCGCGCTGGTGCTGGATTGGAGTACGGCGTATGGACTTGCGTACCGTGGTGCAGAGATTACGCCGGGGAAGAGGGTGTTCATACATGGGTTGAGTGGGAGCGTAGGGTACGCGCTGCTGACGTTTTGTAAGAAGCAAGGCGCGAGTGTGTATGGTACGGCTGCGGCGCATAATCATGCTGCGGTGCGGGAAGCTGGCGCCACACCGTTTGTGTACACGGATAAAGAGTGGATGGGCGTTATGAAGGCCATGGGCGGCGCGCATGTCGTGTACGATGCGCTGGGATTTGCGTCGTGGGATGAGAGTTGGAGTATTTTGTCCTCTGACGAGGGCCATCTGGTGGGCTATGGCGGGAATCTAAATTCGCTGAATGGAGATAAGCCGCGGGGCAATAAATTGCAGATTGCGAAGTTGCTGGCCAAGGGGATGGTGCCGTTTTGTCCATATAGGACGTCTTTTTTCTATATTGATAGGGATCAGAAGACGTATAAGCCGAATTTGGAGGCGTTGTTTGAGATGCTGGCCAAAGGGGAGATTAAGGTGCCGGTTAGGAAGGTGTGGAGGTTGGAGGAGGTGCCTGAGGCGCATCGGGTTTGGGCAAAGGGGCCAGGAGTTGGGGTTGTTGTGGTGAAGGTGGCGGAGGATGGGATGTAGGTTGGGATAAGTAACGATATACCAATGCAGACATTGTAAGCAAAGCATTCTATTGTATGAAATTAATGACAGGACACTAGACCACAGCGTGTTGACTGATACCGAGATAAGGGTATTAACAGTAAGAGATCAACAAGCAATTAAAACAGACCCTCGACCAAGAACTCATTCCCCGTTTCGTATCCCTGCACCATCACTTATCAGCATATTCTCCAACGCTCCATCTACGGGGCCTCATTAACTGCAGGCACAAAAGCCTCCTCCTCCTCCTGCATTCCCATAATCACCTCCTGGTTGATTGGCTTCTGTACCGTTGGCGGCTCCTGAGGCGCAGGCTGAGCTTCCGGCGGCGTAGGCCTCAACCCACTCATGAAAATCTCATCCGCAATCTCAATGCCCAACGGCACACCTCCAATCGGGAACAAGCCCTCACAACCCTCACGCGTACCCTTAGTCGAGTACCTAACATCTTCCACATTCTGGAACACAGTCGCGCCATTGGCATCGACGGCGTAGACATCCTTTGTCGTCGTGGGGATGAGGATATCGCGGGCAGCTGCTGCATCGAAACGCCAGTGGACGCCGAGGAAAATTCGCGAAATGGCATTTTCAAACATGAGTTCCCAGGCTGAGTTAAAGTGCCGCACGATGCGGGTGCGTACGATACCAGGCTGATCCTCGATTAAGGCAGTGGGATCGTAGGGTTGGCGTAGGTCACGGCTTAGACCGTTTAGCTCCTCGGATACTACCATGTCAATGGCAATGTTGTCTGGCTCGTCGTCGTTCCATGTTCCTACACGGCCGTTGTAATATCTGCGCACCATTTGGAACACGGCGCCGCCAAAGGTCGCGTGGCCAGATGGGTAGGCGGGGAACGGCGGCTTGAATGGGATGTCGTTTGTGTTTGTGGCAGGCGCACCGAGTGTGAGCCAGAAAGGATCTCCGTGGTCTGGACGCCCGTCATCACGGACGCCAGACAGTGGACGCCAGAATTCAAACTCCCATTTTTCCTTCCAAGAGAAGATGCCTGCGTCGGCGCAAGCGACGTTGACAAGGCCAAAGAGGCGCGCGAAATCTGCGTTATTAACCTCACTGTTTGCAAGGTCATCATCTTTCTTGTAAGTAACGGCGATACGGCGTACTATCTGGTTGTATTGGCGAGGTGGTGTACCGATAAGGTTTGAGCCGTCATACGCCCAGAACATACCTTGTACCGTCTGGTATGGAGTGCGCTTGGTGGAGTTGAGATCACTGGCGCCTCCCATGGCAATTGCGACGCGGATTGAGTCATCATACTCGGCCGACTCGTCCGCAGCAGAACGTAGGCCTGGCGGATCGGCAAGGATGTGTTCGGTCTGGGTAGCGAAACGCTTCGCAGTCTTGCCGTAGAATGGGGCGTGATACTGGCGGAATGGTCTCTTAGGCCCATTGGGATTGTTGGGGTCTACTGGGACTAAGACGACAGGGTGGGTAGGTTCGTCATTGAATCTGTAGCGGCCGGGTGTAGGTTGGTAACCTTCCTGTGATGCACCTGGTGCATGGAAGAGGAGTGCAAAGAATACATCTGCCACGGCTTCACCAAACAAGAAACTGGCTGAAGCCCGGTCCACACCACCGGGTGCTTCCGCAGCTGATCGGTCAAGAACCAGCCCGAGCTGTGCATAAGCGTTGTCGGAGATGTTGGTAGGCGGCATATCAGGCTTCATATACAACAAGGAGAGCATCTTGAGAGAAGCTCCAGCCACGGCTTGACGAGCATCATCCGCTCCATTGAGGTCAGGGAGACGGTACGCGGCATTCTCAGCATTGGGAGTGAGAAACGTCAGGATGTCAGCCGAAGGGTTGATAGCAAAATAGGCGTCGTGAACTGCCAAGTGCAACATGCCTAGAGCTCTGGCAGATATGGGTGGTCCCGTCTGAGGGCCTCCCACAGTATGTGTTACACGGTTGAGCTCTAATCCGACATGGTTCCAGTAGAGTACATAATTCGTATTGTACTCTTCTGGTTCATCGATCCTGGGGAGCGGAATGGGTGTAATTGGGTCCATTGTAAGCGTGATGGTGGGTGAGATTGTAGTGAATTGTTGAGTTGTGATGATTGTGATGCGATTGAAACGCAGGAAACCACAGAATATATAGACAATTTTGAGTCTTCTCTTCCTCAAAGGTCCTAGGTAATACCTGTCCTTCCGAATAGCCAACCCGCCACTATCAGGTGAACCGTTCTCAAGCCACACTGTTACGGAGGACTGTCATCTTCATGCCAGGGGCGCAAGTCAGACACGAGACCACAGCCGTGTCGTAGCGTTGTGGTGAACCATTGTCCTTATTCGAACATTGTGCTAAGCTACAACCAAGACGTGTCTAGAAGGATCAATTTGGCTGCTCACACTTGGCGTGAACCACATGTGATAAAGAATTCGCTGCCGACTTGTAGAAGCTGAGGTGGCTGAAGCTGACTGGGTAAATTTTCGATGGTCAGATCTGACGTATTCCCTCAGCTGGTAGGGGGCCGCATGACGGTTCTGGGACTTCGCAGCCAATACGAGCAATTTTGAGCATTCACATCGGAGGACCTTCGTATCGCGAGGCGTAGAATAGAAGATGTGAGATGCGACTTTGGCGCTTGCTGATGTTTTGTTAGATCATCTTATGGCTGAGAGAAGTCAGCGAGAGCCAGGTCCCCGGAATCCGGTGGTGCAATGATGCGCCATCCCTACAGCCGACATGGGGCAAGTATAACGCGCAAACGGCGTCGATTGCGTCCACTGTAATACGAATATCCAGGCTTTGCGAAACCCTACCAATTGCATATGCAGCGCAGTAAGTGTGAGAACGCAAATGAATCTCAGATGGTGCTGAGGCTGAACATCTACATTCTGGACAGCCTTGAACCTGCATCTTCGCTGCATGCATGCAAGCAGCAAGTGGCGGGATGATCCCCGTTGCCAAAATGCAGGTCAAAGGTGGGTCTCAATCTGTCGTCTGACCCACACGATCAATCTACCCCCACGTGGGAAATGTGCTGCTATGCCTCGACCTGTTGCGATTTTATGGTAATCATGTAAGCATGCCGCACTAAGAACACGGCGAATGACTTTTGCGAAGTCAATTCGTGCTTCCTTTCAATATGCTTGCGCATTTCAGACAACCCATGCCGAGACATGGGCCTAGCAAGGAAGCTCAGAGCGAGGGGCGGAGTGTGAGACAAGTTCACTCCATCAGGAGATGAGACGTGTGCACCATGTAAGTAGGCGGTATGAACGTGACTGGGAATGGTGGTGGCTGGAGGACGAGAGGTGAGAGGATGAACCTTGTAAACAACAAGAGGCAATAATGTAGATGCAAAACAGGTCAGATTTCATTCGGACAAAATGATCTGCATTTACTTTGGCCTTGCTTACGGATCAAAAATCGGATATATTGAAACACGTCTACCACTGACGTGACTGAAGTTGAGTTCTGACACTCTGATGGCAGCCTGATGATAAGTGCTCGTCTTATTTGGCCTCTTTGAGCAATGCCTCTGCAGTAGCGTCTTTTTGACTCACGCTGCCACTTCTCTCTGCAGGCTTGAGCTTTCCTGAAGGAGGGGCTTCGCCACTGCTCTGAGCGGCATTCTTCAGCCTCTCGGTATCGGCAGGGTTAGTGTCCTGCTTCTTCGCGTCCTTTTCATCATCGTCGCTATCGCCAAGACTGAAGGGATCATGCTCATCGGGTTCTGGGTTCGGCGCTACAGATGTCAGAGGCTGCCACTTCTTGCCGCCTGACTTTCCTTGGCTCCCCGGGTTGCTGGGTGATGGGTTGCGGTAGAGCGCGTCGACCTCGTCAACAGGACCGCTCTGGGGAGGCGAGACAGGCGTTGGTTTGAAGAGATCGGGGTTAGCATGAGGGCGGCTCGAGGATCGCTGGGGCACTGCTATGTGTTAGTGGTGCCGGTGATGTAGAGGCATAGTAGCCTACAGTCGTTGTCCCGCAGTTCCAGCTTGGCGAAGTCGTCGCCAATCACCCGGTTGTCAGCGTCGTAACGGTTGTGGTCTGCCGACCTCCGCTGCTCGGCTGACTTGCGGATACCGTGCATCTGATCCGACTGCGAGGGGCCAAAGTTTTGTCGCTGTTGTGGGGGCGCGGTTCGGCCCGTGTATTGGGGGTTGCCGTACCGATCGTATTCTTCCATTTCGCCGTCGAGCTTCTTGGTGAAGTTGCTGATCCATTTGGTGACTGTCTGCTGCGTCTCCTTGAAACCTTGCTCAATGTTCTTGCGGATCTCGGGGAGGTCGTCTGCAATTTGTACCGTTAGCCGTCACAGCGGGCGCATAGGGTACAGGCAGGGGCCCACCATCGAAAAAGCTGTACTCGCGCTCAGGTTCGCCCTGCCGCTGGTGACTCCCTTGCTGTCGTGGCCGTTGGGGGCCAGAGCCACCCTGGCTCTCGTAGTGCTGGGCGAGTTGCCGCGCAAAAATCTCGTCCTGCTCGAGCTGACTGCGGGGCTGGGGGCGCGGTGGCTGCGGTGGAGGCGCTTCTTCTGCCTTGAAGTTGGGATCCGACATGCCTGGGGTTGTCAGTACGCATCCCGCTCAGGGGCATCGCTAGGCGGCCAACATACTCAGCAGTGCGTTGAAGGCAGGCTCAACTTTGCCTCCACTGGCAACCAGCACGGCCTTGATGACATTGCTGTCGACGGTGGGGAAGGCCTCAATCAGCGTGTTCTGTGCCTGGACCTGGGGGTCGACAGGCCGGGGGGGCTTCTGGGGAGGAATCTCGGTTGCCTCTTCGTTGAAGCGCACGCCAGGCTTGGGCGACTTGGAGGCAGGAGGCGGTGATGCAGTATGCTCGGCGGTTGAAGCAGCGGGGGCATCGTTGTCGTCGTCAAAGTCGAGCTCACGCGCCGTCGTTGGGCTCTCTGGAGGCTGCAGCAGTTGCATTAGTGGGGGAGAGGCGTCGCAGCATATCGCTTCCTGCTCACTTTTTCTGTGTTGACCTTTTCCGACATTGTTGGGCGCGGCGATACTTGTGTTGTCTGTGACGGGCAGTGTGTAAGGTTGATGAGGTGGTGTTGGTACGTATACACAGACGTGTATGTGTGTATAAATGTATGGGTGTGTATGCACGTGTGTTGTATGTCAATGTCCAACGGTGCTGCGTGCTCAGGACGGCAGGCTCGACCTTGGGCCAATGCTGTGCATGGGACTGTGGCTTGGTAGGTCTCGCCGCCACTGATGACGTTTCGCGCCAAGTGGGGCTCTCACCCCGCACCGCACTGCTCTCACCTCCCTGTGCATCTACTACACTACACAGTACACCTATGTAGTAGTACATATACAGACTTGCACAACCACTCGGCGCTCTCCTCTCTTCAGGAGAAACTAGGGAAACCGTCTTCAATGGATGGGACATCATAACGCCGCATTCCGCACTAGCTATTGGGCATCAATCATTTTTCCCGTTGGTCATGTGTTCAACACATACACCCCCCTCGAATATCTCCGCTGAGGCAGCTTCTCCCACGGCCCACTCCCTGAAGGTGAAACCATGACAGCATACGGCGACCAGAATGTGTGTAACAGGATTTCGAATCATCGAAATTGTTGCCAGATTCCGAGTCAACTATCCCAGCCATGGGACAGTATTCTTCTGTTCAAATGAGACCTTAACCTCTTTCGTGTTCCAAGAGACGACGCGAAAGAGTCTATTTTGTCACACCGAGGCATATCTTGGGCTGTTTACATGACTTCAGCTCAACATTGTTGAAGCAGCCTGCTAGACTTATCCAGTATGGTTGCTGTCACGATGCTCGATAGAGTTTACAAGTCTGGTCAGCATAGGCACAGCTTAAGCTCAGCGAAGTATGGGGATGGAAACAGGCGTGCCATTGTGATATCAGCGTTGTTGTTGGCTTGCTTGGTCAAGGCAAAGAGTACCGCATTATGACTAGTACACCGGGCGGAAGAGCCGGGTTCCATATTGTAAAACTCCGAATATCAAATGTTTAGGTTTCCGGAAACAATAATGACGAATGTGGGCAGGACCATGCATCGCGCCATGCTGCACCTGCATACAATTCTTCTTTAGAGTATTCTAGAGCTGAAGGGTCCACCGCTATCGATGTAAGGACCCTCGAGTACTGTATACAGATCGGCGGGGCGAAGCTTTTGCTAGCTTCGACAGAGAAAAGTGGGTGGTTGGCTATGTTGAGTTATCTTATGATAATGTTGGTCAATGGGACGCCACATATTTTTCTGTTAGCTCGCGGATGATAATCAAGGTTCAGGCGGAGTGCCCCGAGTGCGCCATGGGAAAGCTCCATGAGTACAAGGGCCGATTCAATGAGGTTAGAGCGTGATGACGGGCACAGCAAGCGACCGACTTGAACAGTAGCAGACGACGGACTCGCCCAGACCTTATTAGAAACTTCACGTGTGATACACTCTTACGTGATAGTCTCTCACAGTGCTGAAGGCACACAGCACGGCGTAGAGGTTGGATTTCCTCCGGTCCACGATCGGCCGTGGCCAAGGCTGGTCATGGAGCTGTGACCAGTCCCCACCCAACGCCTGTCTCCAGTCTTGTCTGCAAGCTTTTTTTTCTCCGTAGATGGAGATGCGCAGCAGGGCTTCTCCATCTCGGTTCCACATCACCGGCTCCTCGGAAACCAAGTACTTACTACAAACAGCCTTGGTGCATGTGTCTTCAGTATGCATGCCCGCCAACTGCAAGCATGTCTGCATCCGTATTCTGCCCTACGGACACGAAACAGCAAGGTGACAAGATAATTCTATGCCGGCCAAGACGCGTCACTGGTTCTGTTAGCGCAGCCATTCTCGTGTCTGCGATCTAGAAGTCATTCGGGAGGATTATGGGCGGAGGTTATGCTTAGGGTAATTCTCCTTATTCTGTAGATTTGCGGGTCTGAGCAACGCTAATTGGCTGACCAAAATACCATTACAGGAATAGTGTAGAGTAACTTTTCCCTTCCCTCCGTCTTCCAGGGCAAGCTTGACGCTGTTGCCAGCCGGCTCCTCCGTGCCCGGGCTGAAGCGTGTTTCACGCGCACCCATGTTCCCTGTGGACGCATTTGCGCGACCTTGCACCTCAGCAACCTTGGGCCTGCGCTAGTCGCCTTGTTCAGTATGTACATTTGCCTCTACTCTGTTCACCAGCCTGGAGAAACCTGCCATGGTGGGTCACGTCTCCATATTACAGCCCCTGACTGCTTCCTTTGCCGCGCGTAGAACCGAACTGATGGATAGTGACAACAGCGCTTTACCCACATCCTCGGATGGCGCATGCATCTCGTCGATCACATGTGCCCACACCATATGGCTACTTACTTACATACACACG